AAAGGTGAACAAATGAAATCTCTGTATCGTATAGCAAAACAAGCAAAGCGTACGAAAAAAGACATAGTTGGTGCCTCATGTATCAAAAACGACAAAAATGAGATGGTTCTTGAACAAGATGAGATCAAGCTACAGTGGAGAGAATACTTCAACCGTCTGTTAAACGAAAGAAATCCCATCAACTTTGACGCTCCACCCATCGAAGGTCCGATTTCAGACATCACTGTAGAGGAGCTTACAGAAGCTCTAAAAGCTATGAAGGATGGAAAAGCAGCATGGCCCTTTGGACTCACAAATGACATTATCAAAACATCTGGTACTGCAGGTATCCAAACGTTACTACAACATTGCCGTTTAATCTGGAGAAATTGCTCTATGCCGACTGAATGGAACTATAGCATGACAGTCCCGCTATACAAAGGCAAAGGTGATCCAATGAACTGTTCATCATATCAGGGTATACGTCTGTTAGAACACTCCTGAAAATTGTCGAGAAAATCATTGAGAAAAGATTAACCACGTGCATCACAATCGGAAATTATCAATTTGGTTTACTAGCGTGGAAATCAACAATTGATGCAATTCACATCCTTCGGCAACTGCAAGAGAAGTACCTCCCAAAGCATCAACAACTATCACACATTTTTGTAGACCTTTAAAAGCGTTTGATCGAGTTCCCCGTGAAGCAATCAGGTGAAGTCTACGTTGACAACTCATTCCAGAATATCTTGTTTGACTTGTGATGGAAATGTATACGAATACTAAGACTCTTGTCAGCACAACAGTTGGAAACACAGATGCATTCGACATCGGCGTTGGAGTTTACCAAGGCTCGATTCTCAGTCCACTGTTATTTATAACTGTGATGGAAGAAACGATACGATAAAGAAACCGATACGCACTGGTGACATTTGGAATCTAATATATGCTGATGATATCGTTTTAACAACCACGTCTGAGCAGAATGTAGCGCAGATGTTTGAAGATTGGAACACCAGACTCGCCGATCATGGATTCAAAGTCAACATCAACAAAACCAAAGCAATGAACACTGGTAAACCCATCCAATCCACAGCTACTGGTCGATGGCCCTGTTAAGTTTTTAAAGCTGGTGTAGGTAACAATTCAATCAAGTGTCAGCAGTGTAACCATTGGTGTCACAAACGTTGTTCAAAAATAATTGGTACTTAATTTAAAGTGCCCAATTTTGTTTGTCCTGCTTGCATCAATCCACAACAACAAATTCGAAATAGCACGGTTTTTAAAGCCATTAAGGTAGAGAAAGTCACATCGTTTCAATATCTAGGGGATGTTCTGGATTGTACTGGAACAGCTGAAGCTGCCGTTCGAGCACGCATACGTGCAGCCTGGAATAAATAGCATCTCCTTGCCTCTATATTGATGCGGCGTGACATCCCACTACCACTACAATCAAGACTTTATAAATCTGTGATATGTCTGGTGTTGTTATATGGTGCAGAAACATGGCCGATGACAACCAAACTAGAACAACAACTTTAACGAACCGAAATGAAAATGCTCCGATGGATGCAACGAATTAGTCTGAAGGACCACATCAAACCTACCGAAATCCTGCGTAGTGCTGGTTTAGATGATATAAAGGACGAATGCCGACAACACCGTCTGCGGTGGTTTGATCATGTCAAACGAAGAGGAAACAGTGCCATAACTTTTCTTGCAGATGTTGAAGTACCTGGCACACGTCCCAAAGGCCGTCCAAAGAAGTCCTGGTCGCAAACAATCGAGCAAGACATGAAAGCTCTAAATTTAAATAAAATGGTTACAACTGATCGGCGCAATTTTTTTGGCGCAAAAAGTTGATGGCAAAGAAAACAACGTCCTACCTCGGGGAACCGGGTCTCTGGACGCAAAACGAAGATTGATTGTTTGATAAGTTTTCATAGAATAAAAAAATGTTATAAACCCAGCAATTTCTAAAAATTCTAACTTAATAAAATTTAACAATGAAAAAATAACTTGTTTTGAAATTCTTGCAAGTCGTTAACTATTTTTGAAATATTAACATCTGCCCATAGAATGTCATAATATCCATCAACAGTGTTGTTTACATTGTTGTACAAACTGTAAAGTCTCTGTAACAACTGAATATTAATCAAAATACTTTTCATTTAAAATAATGATATACAAAGAATACTGGATTTCATCGTCACAGCTTCTAAATAAATATTTTCATTATTACAGCAAACACATGGTGCATGTAAACATACGTAAATACAACGCATCAAACATTTGATGTGATAAGCGTGGATATCTTAACATTCGAACTCGGCTACATTCAACATTGCCTGGAATTTTAACAATTACGCTACCGCGCGTTACGTATATGCAGTCAGACAAAGATTATACCATCCTCATCATCCTCATGATCCCCATCGTCATCTCAATTGCTCAATGGTCGATTATTGTTCAATAGACCGAAAAGGGCTACATTCAGCACTATATATTAAAAGAGGGTTTTATTCAAGTTTTCAGAAGGAGTCCCAAAAACGTGTATGAAAACAAAGGTTTATAACAGTTTTCAACTCATTTGGCCATCGATAAATTAGACTTATTCATAAAAGACTAGAAGTTAGTAACTAGTTTTAGAATAATAGTAAGTATAAAGATGATTAGAATTTAAAATGTATAAAATTTTTTAGATAGAAAGTTATTTTGAACAAGTAAAAAAAGAAGAAATTAGAGAAAATTTAGAAAGTTTGAAACAAATTTTAACAACACAAAAATTTTAACAATGCTTTTTTGACTATTATTTAGCACATAAATATAGAATTTAATATAACAACACAATAAATAAGAAAAGGGTAAATCATAGCATAAAACAATGAACCATCATTTTGTGTGAAAATATTGATTTAAATTTATAAATAAAAAAACGAACTACAAACATATTAACTTAAAAACAAACTGCAAACATATTAACGCCAAACATTCGGTAGAATTTATAGAATATTGTAAAAATTATGGTCTACTACCAACATGTATAAATAATAAAACTTTTCGATAAGTTCTTTTCTTTAACAGTTTAGATCTTATATATATAACAAGATAATAGCTACCGGACCACTGGAAATAATAAGATATTATAAAATCCGACTCCAACTCCTCCAAAAATTCCGACTCCGATTCCAGCAAAAATCTTAGACTCCGACACTGTAAAAAATGAATGTAGGGAGCTGTCTAATTGACGAATCGTTTTTTCAGTAGAGACGAGAAAACGTTTCTTTTTTGTCAGCATTTAACATTATCAGTCATTGGCAGTCATCTTCTCTCCACTTAACACGTGTTACAATCACGTAATGATATCACGCGTTGAATCAACCTTTTTTTAGTTTTAAACATGTTTGTAGTTGAAATGTCAAAAAAGATATGCCATGACAATTGACAGCTAATGACAGCTGTTGACAGCCATATTTAAACCAATTAATAGAACAAATCAGCAATCACCTTCCAAAATTGACAAACGTTTTTAGAAATTTCCGTACCAAAATCAATAGTAACGCTAATGACTCCTCATTCATCTCAATACAATCTCAATTCCTCAAAAAAATTAATAATTTCATTTTACTCAATAAAAAATATAGCTTTACAAAAACTCCTATAATCGATCCAACAGAACAAACACTACCTAGAAAGAAAAGAAAATTATTAGCACAATCGGGCCATTGTCATTTCCAGAACAGAATCATTCCAAACCTCCCAAACATCTGCCCGGCATTTAACAACAGACCTCACAATGTTCAACATCTTTTCAACTGTCCTAACAACCCAAGAAAACTATAACCAATTCATTTTTGGACAAAACCAACAGAAGTTTCTGCTTGGCTAATAACTAAAACAATAATCTTCCCATAACAATCAACCGATTTTTGGCAACAACAACTATTAAGCTTAGTATGAGTTCATGATCTAAAGTAAGATATGAACGTAGAAAAATTCAAAATCTAATCTCTAAGTTATAAAAGCTCAGCAACTGTTCCGACTATTAATTAAAAGTTTATTTTATCAAAATAACATTTTGTTATTATTTAAAAAAAATTCAGAATCTGACAGAATCTTTACCAAAATATAAGAAAAAATATTATAAAATGATGAAAATAAATTGCGAAGTAAGGATGTTCAAGCATGGAAAAAAATAAAGATTTTATAAACAAACAAAGAAATAAATTAATTAATTAGTTATCGACTGAATAAATAAAATCCTAATGTGTTCATTAGAAAAAAAGTAAAAACAAAATTGAAAAAATGACGAATACATATCGAGTGTTAATATGTTTTAGATGTCTCTGGATGAAGGTTTTATAATAGGCTGATTGAAGTTAAGTCATGGCTTGGTGAACTTTAAAAATTTCATTATTAATCCCTATTAAAAATATATATATATGTATATTATACATGTTCTTACAACATTTGATTTTCCATAGTTTCTTTTGCGTGGTAGTTCAGATACTTTTTACTTTGCTAAATAGCTTGTACATTTTTTTGTTAACTAATGTTTTTTCTAATATTTTAATTAACGTTTCTTTAATAAACAATTATATTATAAAACAAAAAGTTTTTTATATTCAACAGGTTATGTGCCCAGAACGCTTAATAAATTGTTTAAAAAAAAATAAAACAGTTAATTTGCGCAGCCGATTGGCCCATTTGGAAACGTCGTATTCGAGATTTCATTAACTACCATGAGAGCGCACTTGATGCGATTGATGGGAAGTTATCAAAACCAGAATTACTAAAAAATCAAACAGAGCAAAAGACAAAAGATTTTAAAAACAAATCAGATCTGTTTAGAAAAGCAAACAGTTATGCGAAATCAGTAATTGCGAATGCAGTCACAGAAGACACATACCAAAAGGTAATGGACAAGAACACAGCGTTTGAAGTTTTAAAGAAATTAAAAAGGAAATTTGAAGCGTCAACTAAGGATCAACTATTCCAAGTTTTGTAGCAACTTTTTCAATTTCAAATGAATAGCAGATGTAGATGTATCTGACCAAATTGCAAGATTTAAAACCTTGTGTTAAACAGTGGGCTTCAGGCTGTGGGTAGAGGCGAAATAAATATGCTGTCAACAGTAAATAATAAACAAAAGTATATAAAACTTTCAGATGTCTGATATGTTTTAAATGTAGGTAGAAACCTGTTTTCCATACCAGCTGCATAAGATATCAATTCAAAAAACAGCAAGTTTGAATCTTATGCAACGAAATGTCAATTCAGTATAAAAAATCGTGTGGTCGTACAAGGAACAAGACGAATAGATGGTTTTTTGTACATATGAGGCAAACTTGATTTCAATAACTCCAGATACATCGGCTGAAGTGAATATGGTCAGTAAAAATTCAATAGTGCAGCTCTACCATGAACGTTTTGGTCATCAAGAGAAACGTCACATAAAGAATGTTTCAGAAAAAGAGTTAAACATCAAAGTTCATCTTGACAAAGATTTGTGGGAACCATGTCTCTACGGTTAAAATTTGGCAAGAGAAATGAAACCGATAAACCAGGTGAACTACTATCGGCAAACGTTTGTGGTCCTTTCAACACAAAACCACTAAGTGGTAAACGATATTATGTTGTTTTTAAAAGATCATTACAGCAAAATGAGGCTCATCGCTTTTCTTAAACACATAGATCAAGTGAAACAGACACTACAAAATATTTTGTCTCAAGCAGCGACTCAAGGTCATTTGAGTGACAACAGGGATGAGTTTAACAACGAAAAAGTTCGAAACATCCTGCGCAGCCATGGAATCACGCAAGGCTAACAGCACCATATATACCTCAACAAAATAGTGGTAGTGAACGTGAAAACAGAACAATAGTAGAAATAGCACGCACATTGAATTACTCAAATTCAGATTTTAAATTTCCAGTCGCTAAGTGGGCTGAGTTATGTTCAACTGCAGTATATTTACTTAATCAAACAAGCAAGTCGTCGATTGAAGATTTGAAGTTTGGACAAATAAAAAGCCGAGAATTAATCTTTTGAGAATAACTGGATTTACATGTTTTGTTCACACACCTCATCCAAAACGTAAGAAAATGGATAAGAAAGCCATAAAAGGTAACCATTGTTGGTAACGATGGTGACGAACGCTATCGCATATGGCTAAAAAATCAATATGAAATGGTATTCTCAAGAGATGATGTTTTCCAAGAAAAACCTAAGAAATGTACAGCATCTTTTGAATATAAGATTTCAAAAGATTCTGCAACAGATCCTCGAATCAATTGCAAATCAGAAAATAACTCAAGTAGTAGAAATGATGATTCAAAAGAAGAAATTACAGATGACACTGAGAAGATTATAGATAATTCAGTTAAAGTTCAACTCAGAGATAGGTCAAGCTTGCAGAAACCTAAGAAGTTAGATGATTATGTGATGCAGGCTGAGACATATTTATTAGATGTACATGAACCAGATACATACGAAGAAGCCATTCAAAGCAGGGAAAGTAAATATTGGAATGATGCCATGAATAATGAAATTAATTCATTAAACAAAAATAGAACTTGGGAACTTTGTAAACTACCCAGAGGAGCTAAAGTTATTCCATGTAAATGGGTTTACCAAATAAAAACCTTGCCAGACGGAAGTGTAGATATATACAAGGCAAGACTTGTGGCAAAAGGATTTTCACAACGAAAAAATGTAGATTAAAATCAGTCCAGTAGTAAAGTTGACTACAGTTCGCTCTAGACTAAGTAATGCAGCAAGTGAAAAACTGCATCTTCTTCAATTTGATGTATCAACTGCATTCCTGTATAGTGAACTTGACGAAGCGATCTACTTCAAACAACCAGACAGATGTAATGATGGCTCAAATAAAGTCTGTAGATTGCTCAAAAGTCTGTATGGTCTAAAGCAAGCACCTCGTTGTTAGAACCAATAATTCGGCAAGTTTCTTTTCGAATGTGGCTTTAAGTTATAAAGCAGATCTATGTCTTTATGTTAGAATACAAAACATTGTGATGCTAGCATTGTTTGTTGATAATGGAATGGTAGCCGCTAACAACACAGAAGATTTAGATCTATTCATTAGAAAATTGAAGCTGAACTTGCAACATTTTTAGGTTTTCAAATAAAAGCTCTATTGGATGGAAGCATAAAAGTTTGTCAATCTGGCTATGCAAAAAAATTTTGAAACTTTTCAGATTAAAAGAATGCAAACCAGTTCACACCCCAATGCTTAAAGAAAATGCTGATAATCAATCCGACATAGCAGGTTCAGAATACCCTTATAGACAACTAGTTGGAGCGTTAATTTACTTGATGTTAGGCACAAGGCCAGACGTTGTGTAAAGCCTTAACTATTTGTCTCGTCCCCTCGAAAACCCAACACCATGAGATATAATAAAAGCAAAACGAATGCTTAGATATTTAGCAGGAACAATCGATCAGAGCACTGTTTACAGATCAGACAGTATAAAATAGTTTTACAGTGTTTCGGTGATTCAGACTCTGGAGGCTGTAGAAAGACTGGACGTTCGACCACACGTATTGCAGTAATATATGCAGGAGGCATAATATCATGGATTAGTCAATATAGGCAGTAGTTACAACATCTACAACGGAGACTGAGATCAACGCTGCAATAGAGGCTGTCAAAGAAATAATTTGGCTTCAAAGATTATTCAAACCATTACAGGTTGATTTGAAAGAAGTACCAATTTTGCAAGTTGACAACAGTGCTGCAGTCAAATTTACTCAGAACCCAAAATTTCATTGGCGGACAAAACACATTAATTTGAAAGATCTTTTTATTAGAAAAAAAATTCAAGATGGATCGGTTGATATTGTTATAACCGATCCCTTGAACTTGTACGTATGGTTATTTCTCTCTAAATGGATTCTTGACTCCTGAACAAACTTTTTTCAGATGACTTTATTAAAAAGAAAACAGTGCTGGCAATCACTTGTGTGTATTGCTGTGATCAATCACTCGTTTATTCAATCAACAAAATCGTTAGAATACAGCACAATAACTAATCGACAGGTAAATCACGAAATACAACTATTCGTCAGTAGTTAAGCTTCTCTTGTCAGACTAATTACATTGAGTCTTCTAGCCCTGGTATTCTTTATTGCAGTAAGTTTCCAGCTATCAAAATCTTACCTCTGTCACCAGTGTGTAATCCCCTAACACCAGTGTTGTAACCTCTTCGACCAACACCGATGTTATAGCTTTAATACTCGCTATATCTCCAACACCGTGTTTTAGCTTCCAACGATAGTCAAGAGTTCGTTTATCCGTAGGTTCAAGATTTCCGATAGATAAACAAGACTATTTAAACGCAAGCTAAGCTGTACATTTATTTAATACCAACAGTAATAGAAACAATAAATTAATCCAAATAACTACGTAAATCACATTTACGACTTCTACGTCAACTGTTATTCCGTCTTCTTACCTGTTCTTCTCTTTCTTGTGTTCGTGTTATCTCCCTGTCGTGTCCCATTCTTTTATATAGCTGCCGATCCGCTAGTAAGTGTGTCACGTGATTTACAATCGTTTTAATTTGCAAGCGCTTCACGCAATTACTAACCACTAGTTCCTATCTCGGCTTCATGTCTGTAACAATATCATACAAATTTCAACAAGTGATCAAGTCGCTGATGTGATGACAAAGCCACTGGACAGGGTCAGACTGAAACTCCTGAGTGGACATATGGGACTAAGCCTCCAACGCATAATGTGTCTTTTTAGGTACAGCTCTTTTAAATTCATTATAAAATTAGTCTTTGCCTTATTTAATTTTTTTTGTAGTATATTTTTATAAATCATCAATCTTCACTATTCTATCTATCTTTTTGTTTCATCAGAAAATTTGTTGAAGTTTTTTTATTTTTAAAGTCAGCGACACTGAAAATTTTGATTTTTTTGACATGTCTGATCAGAAAAGGTATAAATAATTTTGGTTAAATTTTTTCTTGAAATTTTTAAAAATTTTGAATCGCATTTTTATTTGTTTAGCTAATTACGTAAAATTAATGATAAAACATCTTGTAGTTTTTTTTTATAAAAGCTAAAATTATGACTGTTCCTTTTTTTGGAAACTATGCAGTACACTGAATAGTAAATTTACTAATTTCAGATTTTCACTTCATGAAGTTGTTAGCATGTTAGAAATGAAAAAGATTTTTTTTCAGCAGATATCATTATGCTACCGCCTGATAATCCCAATTGTTCAGATCAAGAGAGTGGTCCTGAGGATGGGGAAGGAATTATTGACAATTTATCAATAACTTTATTGAACTCAAACATTGAGGCAGTCAAAGAAATGCTTCAGAAAGAAGAAATTAATGTGCAAACACAAACAACTATTTAAAAAAAGATTACAAAGGTATATTAATTGAAAGAAATTGGAAGAAGAATGACATTTTGATTGTAGAACCCATACCAGTTTTTTCTGAAAATAAAGAATTTGAATTGTTTCAATTCTGTTTCAATTATTTTTTGATGATGAAATAATCAAATTCATCACTGAGATATCTAATTTCTATGCTAGTCGGAAGCTGAGGCAGTTGAATGCCACTGAAGAAGAATATAAAGTGACATTAGCAGTTTTGCTCTTATCGGGTTATGCTCCTCTACCAAATCGACAAATGTATTGGGAACAAAGTAATGACGTGCATAATTTAGTACTGAGTAATGCCATCAGTATGAATAGATTCGAGGAACTTTTCAGATATTTACACACATGCGATAACGAAAAAATTGACAAAAAAAAGATAAAATTGCCAAAGTTCGACCCTTGTTTATATGTTAAATGAAAAATTTTTAAAATATTGGCCTGAAGAAATTCGCTTATTAATTGACGAATCCATGGTATTATATTATCATATTTTGTTAGACATTTTACCAAGAAATTTATAAGAGGTGCCCCTATCCGATTCGGATTTAAAATTTGGTGCACGAATAATCGTCTCGGTTATTTAGTGAGTTGTGAACCATATCAAGTAGCCACTTAAGATTATGATCCTGATTTAGGACTGGGTAGATCAGTAGTTAAAAAACTGACAGCATGCCTTTCTGATGATAAAAGATTTCATTTATTTTTTGACAATTTTTTCTCTTCGTTCAAATTATTTAAACGACTAAAAGGAAATAATATTTATGCAACCGGTACAATTAGAGTTAATCGAACAGGGAAATGTCCATTGATGGATATAAAAGAAATCAAAAAAGTGAAAAGATGGTCTTCAGCAAACACGAAGCATGTTTTAATACAAAAACAACAACACACGTTTAGACGACAACAACATTTTCCCCGAGATCGGGGGTTGCCGTTTGGCTACCTATGATGAAATCGAAATACCCCTCGACGCCATTCACATCTGTCACTCCCCTCAGTATCACGCAACCCCGCTTTCACTCTGTCCTTCTCCACCTGCTCTCTGCATCCCAATCGCGGACGACCCCTTCCTATCACTCCTTCAACCTCAAACTCCAACGCTTGCCTAATCCCGACCCTTTCATCCCTTCTCAACACATGTCCATACCACCGCAATCTCGATCTCCTTACCAATGTCACAATGTCCTCATTCAGTCCTATCATCGACATCAGCTCTGTACTACTCCTCCTATCCTTCATTTTAACCCCACACATCATCCTCACCATAGCTCTTTCAGTCCTCTGCAGTACACTTTTCTCCTCTCTCCTCAACACCCAAGTTTCACCACCATATACCATCGCTGCTCTCACACATGCTTTATATACCCTCCCTTTCATCTTCACTGACCATTTCTTTCCACACAATACCCCACCCAGTTACTAACCCTAACCATGAACACATTTCTTACATTTGAACGTTCCTTCCACCTTTTTTTCAGTGCCCCCTCACACCATTACATCACTTACGCATCCACTTCTGACATCCTATACACAATACTCAGCCATATATAATAAATCGATATAACAAATATATGGGTGGAACTGATAGGATGGATCAGAACATTGAAAATTTGCGGACCAATATTCGGATTAAAAAATGGTGGTTGCCGCTTTTGCTTTCGGATCAAAAAATACTCAAAGCATGAAAATCACTTTTATGCTGGGTTCAAGAGAAGTGTTGCCAAAACTATATTTGGGCAAAACCAACCAGAAGATTTGAAAAGAAAATCAGTAAACCATAATGTTGAAAATGAAATAAAACTTGATGGAAAAGACCATTTTATTGGAAAAATTTTGGATGGACGAAAAAGATGTAAATTGTGCCACAAGAAAGTTTCAAAGAAATGTATAAAATGTGATATTGCCCAACACTTGAAAGGCTTTGAACATTTTCACAGGAAATGATTTACCATGAGTACTCAACACCTACCTTACATATGAGTACCTTCTTAGGAACACTTTGTTTTTTATCATAACTTTTTTAATTTTTTTTTAATTTCATTTTAATAGGCTTTTTTGATGTTTTAATACTACGCTAAATAAAATATTTCAAAATCATAAAAAAATGAGTAATGCATTGGAGGCCTAATGTCATAAAATGTTTTGAAACAAGGGAAAATATTGAAATAATATATATGTACATTATATATGTTCCTAAAACATTTATGACTTTCCATAGTTCCTCTGGAATTGTTGTTCAGATACTTTTTACTTTGCTAACTAGATATACTAGCTCGTTCATTTTTCTATTTTTTGTCAACTAATGTGTTTTCTAATATTTTAATTAACGTTTCTTTAATAAACAATTAGATTAAAAAACAAACTAAGTAGTTTTTTTATATTCAACATATATCAACTATCACATATAAAAAATCTCTAACTTGTATTTCCTTGTTGTATTGAAATAGTATGGGGTGTTCAGTAACAGTCAAACCAAACAGTTGCTCGCCTCCAGAGCATGTTTGATATGTACGCCATAGTTGTTCCAATAATGCCTTCGATAACATAAAATACCGGTTGTTATGAATGATGGCAAACAGTAAAAAAAACATTTCTTCTATTTTTACAAAATCATGATATAAATGTTATATAAACTGCAATAATTTTTTAAATTTTCAAATACTTTAGAAAAATTTGAAAATTCTTCTATGAGCGTTTGAAGGTTTTTTTTTTCCAGCCAATCTATCATAAAATAATATGTTTAATCTTTTAACGACTGTCGTCTAAAGTAAATTATAAGACTATAAACAATATAAAACGCGATTTTTAAAATTTTTATTAAATTTACTTTATTGGTTTTCTGTTTTAATTAAATAATTTATATAAATTAATAATTACTTGTTCCTTTATATCAAATATCTTACATACCTTATATATGATGCACTGAAGATGAGTTATTTATAACTCGAAATAGCTATTTGCAAATTTATTTAATAAAAATTTTAAAAAAAAACAATAAAATTTCTAATTTCTCGGAAATTAATAAATTAAAAAGAAATATGAAAAAGTTGAACAATGTTGAAAGTAGTGTTGAATTTCTCCTTATATAGGAGAGAGTGCCTGCGCGTTGGCGTCTTAGTTTCACAGGCGTAAATGGTTGCACAAGGATCTGATTATCTCGTCTGAAATATTTTGCATACCAGTCGTGATGAATTGCGGTCAAGTGTGTCTTTCTCTTATTTAATATTTCTCTGTTTGTGGTTTCGTCTGTGTTTGTGTCTGTGTGTATGCTTTTCGCTGCGTGAATATATTCCCTCTGTGGAACAATCAATACGTCAGTCGTGTTTTTATGTGTTTATGTTTTTAGTCTTTGTATGTGTGTGTGTGTGTTGATTGATTTACATGATATCATCTAAACCAGCACGACGCAGGATTTTGGTAGATTTTATGTGGTCCTTCAGACTAATTCGTTGCATCCATCGGAGCATTTTCACGTCAGTTCGTTGAAGTTGTTGTTCCAGTTTGGTTGTCATTGGCCATGTTTCTGCACCATATAACAACACCAGACGTATCACAGATTTATAAAGTCTTGATCGTAGTGGTAGTGGGATGTCACGCCGCATCAATATAGAGGCAAAGAGATGCATTTATTCCAGGCTGGTTAAATAAAAAATTTTTAATATTTGACATTTTTGACAAAACATTATTAATAACGTTATTACTACAGAAAAGCTCTTTTTGGCATCAACTGCCATCATAAGTGTAGTTATATAGTTTTTGAGTCTTTGTTTTTACAGCGACTTTGATTGTAACTTAATTAGAATTAAAATTCATCTTGTGTTTCTTTGTTGGAAAAATATTGGTATTATTTAGTTGAATATTTATTGCTGGTTTAAGTTTATCGATGAAAATTGATTCTGCTATCTTCAATTTGAAGTATTCTCTTTTGTAATAAATTGCTTTTGTGTTATTGTCTAAAATTTCCCTTGTTATAATAGTGTTATGATGTTTCATTAGGTGGTCTTTTATTGCTCCATGTTGCTTATGCATAGTGAGTCATTTCGTGATGTTTCATTAGGTGGTCTTTTATTGCTCCATGTTGCTTATGCATAGTGAGTCATCTCGTTAATGTTGTTGTAGTCATTCCGATATATTTAGTATTTTGATGCACCAATTTTACATGTGAATGAATAAATCAAATGATTACTTTTCTTGTCCGAGGAAGGTTTAAAGTTGGAATTGTTTTTTATTATTAGAGATGATGTTTTCCTGTTCGTGTAGTAAATTCTTAATTTTTTTGAGCTGTTTGTATCTATGACTTTAACATTGTTATTTATTATCTTTTTCATCATTTTTTCATCTCTTTTATATGATGAGGACATACTAATTTTATAATAAATTATAATTAATAATTATGTAGCCGCAATTTATTACTTTGTAATTCTACATTATCTAAAACAATTTGATTAATTAATTTATTTATTTTAAATACCTTATATGAAATATTTTAATTATGTACTATTTTTACAGCAAAGGTAATATATTGTTTACTTATCGTCATTTTATTTTATATATTTTAATTAACTCGTCATATTTTATTTATTCTAATTTATTTTCTTATCTCACATATTCTTAATTACATTTCAACGTAATTTATTCTATTTCAATTTCTTATATTAATACATTTTATAATTATTCAACATACTTTAATGTATAAATATATTACTTAAGGCTCTGAAGATGGCGCTCACGCCGAAACAACGTTGTAAGCTGCACTATGACACAACTGTTTAATAAATATGATTTAACCCAAATACGAAATGTTGAATCTATTGGTAAAAAACTAATCAACGCAAAATGGGCAAAACTATTTAATGAAAAGTTTGTATCGCTGAGAACCTCGTACCAAAATATATATATATATGTCACGAGTTCTTTCTTATTTTAAGGCTCTAATTAATTAAAATTACGCCAAACAGTATTTTCATTAAGTTTTATTTTAACAAACAGAATATTAACTAAATAGTTAATTAACGAATGAATATTAACTAAAACAGTACGGCAAAATTAAATATCAGATACCAAAACTGTCATAACGCTTTTCCAATGTCACCTTCTAACTATCACTAAACTAAACTGGTTTATCTAATCGCCTCAGTGGCTCTAAATTATTAAGCGCTAAGCGCATAAGTTTGGAGATCGTCACATCTCCCCAACCCACGCGAGGCTGGTGGTTCCATGTGGAAGGTCTGCATCCTTGGATCAACCCTCTCCACATCTGGACAACGTGTCAGCAACAACATTTTCTTTCCCTGACACATGTTGCACCCTATAATTGAAGTCCTGCAACAACAGTGCCCATCTGGTGATCCTTTGATTGGACATCTTGTTGCTGTGGATCATCTTAAGCGGTGCATGATCTGACAGTACCACGAATTCGTGTCCCATTAAGTAGATTGAGAACTTCGTTATGGTGTAGACAATAGCTAATGCTTCCTATTCTATCGTTGAAAAGTTCTGTTCAGTCAATGACAATTTTCTACTGAGGAAACACACGGGCTTCAAGATGTCGTCAACTTTCTGTAACAATGCACCACCTACTGAATAAGCTGATGCATCGCATGCTACAAAAAATGTTTTGTTGATATCCGGTATCTGTAGTATTATCTTGTCTGAGAACAACCTCTTTAGGTTCGGTATGCAGTTTATTATCCCATCGTCTGGTGTTATATTGTTCGGTTCATTTTTCCTAATTACTTGTAGCAATGGCTGCAGGAACTCAGTAAAATTGGAAAGAATCTGCGGTAATAGCTACACAAACCTACTACACTTCTCGCTTCCTTCTTGGTTGTAGGTACGGTGATATTTAATATTTTACTAATATTACGCTGTATCGGTTAAATAGTACTATTTGAAATCACATGTCCCAGAAATTCTACTTCATAACTGGCAATATTTGTTTTGCTGGGTTTCACTGTCAGTTTATTAACAGCAATTATTTAAAAAATTTTATCTAATGCTATTAAATGTTCTTGCCAGGTTGTGTGAAAAATACAGATGTCATCTAGATAGAATACTATATCTCTTCTGTGTGCAAACAATGATGACATCATTCGGTTAAATGTGGCTGGTGCATTGGCTAAACCAAAAGGCATATAATTCCACACGAAATTACCGAATGGGGTCGTAAACGATGTGTAACACTAAGAATCTTCCTCCATGGGTATTTGCCAGTATCCTTGTGAGAAATCTAGTGTTGAAAATATCTTTGCACCTTTTAATTTTCCAATCAAACACTCGATATTGGACATCGGATACGGATCTTTAACAGTGATGTTGTTAAGCTTCCTATAATCTATACACATCCTCATATCTTCAGTTTTTTTCTTAACCAGCACGACTGGAGCGGCATAGGGGGAATCTGAAGTATCAATAATGCCTTGTTTGTTTAATTTATGAATTTCCATCCTTAGAAAGTTTTCATGGTGAGGTGGAACAGGATAAGGCTTCATACTCGTTGGCGTGTTATCACGGATCCGGATTTTATGCTTAATGATGTTCGTTCTACCTGGCACATCTGAAAAAATTACTTTGTATTTCTCAAGTAATTTTTTCATCTCTTCTTGTTGAGAAGCTGACAAATGATTTAATTTGATGTCATGATACGTTTCCGTTTGCTTCATCTCCGGTTTAGGAACTTCTACACTATCTGCTGATTGGAGGAATAACATTTGGTTGACAACTTCATGAGATGATGGTAGAGCATCGGCTATCCTCGGTAAATATTCCTTCAGCATGTTAATGTGGAATACTTTACTCTGCCCTTTCATGTTTATGGCGTAGTCAACATCTGAAATGATCTTCATGACTTCAAACGGTCCTCTCCATTTGATAAACAATTGATTATTTATATCTGGTAGTAGCACCATTACCTCATTTCCCACCTTCAATCTTCTCAACTTTCTTCTTTGATTTATTCGATTCAATTTTATTGGTGTATTTATTGTTGAATCATTCACGACAAATTGACAAACTTTTTCAAATCGTTCACGCGTTTTGACAACCAATTCGTAGGATGTCTGAACATCTGGTTTGATGTCTTGTTTTGACAACAAATCTCTGTATAACGACATTGGGCCTCTGCAATTCGCGCCATAAACCATCTCAAAGGGTGAGAACCCTGTTGTTTCATTCGGTATCTCCCTATATCCAAATAGCAATGGTGGCAACATTTTATCCCAGTCACCTGCATCCTCTTGCGCTATTTTATTCAACATTCTCTTCAATGTGCCATTGAACCTTTCAAACATCCCATTCGTTTGGGAGTGGTATGGTGTTGTAAAGTGTTGTTTAATATTCAACGTTTGGCAGAACTGTCGAAACTCATTTGAAGTGAACTGTGTTCCTTGGTCCGACAAAATTGTATCGGGGTATCCCGTTCTAGAAAACACTACTATCAAGGCATCGGCAACAACTTTGGTTGTTATATGCTTCAACGGTATGGCTTCAGGGAAACGAGTACATAAATCTTCTTTTGTAAGGATATATCTATGTCCTCTTTTAGACAATAAAGGCATAGGTCCGATGATGTCTACTGCAATCCTCTAAAACGGTAATTCCGCAATCGATGTTGTTTGAATCGGTGCCTGAATATACGGACCTTTTGGACCATGAATTTGACAATTATGGCATGTTCTAACATATTGTTTAACATCTTTGGTGGTGCTTGGCCAGTCGAATTCATTTAGAATCCTATTTAATGTTCTTTTGACACCCATATGTCCTGAAAAAGGCGTGTCACGGGCTAATTGCAAAATTTTATTTCTGTATCTTTGTGGCACAATCAACTGCTTTGTTAGCCCAGTCTTAAGATTAACTTCTCTCACATAAATCCCGTTTTCTTGTTTCATGATTGAGGCATTGGGATCCTTTCTTGGATTCTGAATCAATTTACTCAAAGAAGGATCTTTCCACTGTTCATTTGCCATATCGTCTGGTTGATAATTCATAATTTTACCATTTTCATTACTATCTTTATTTATCTCATCATTGTTTTTGTTATTTTTATTCATCTCGATTTCATCCTTGCTTCCATTATTTTTGTTGTTGTGATTATTATTTTTAATGATTTTGACTTCTTTGTTTTCCTCATCTTCCTTCTCTTTTCTATTATACATCACTGGACTTGATTTATTTTGTTTTATATCTTTAATGGTTATTGGGGACTTCCTATCACCCAGGACATCATCATCAGGAACATTATAATTTCCCTCAACATTGTTCTCTTTTTCATTGTCGTTACTATCATTAATCTTTACTTCATCATGTACATGGTCAACATTTATCTCTCCACTGTTCCCTGTTTTATTATTATTATTCATTTTAACTTCATCATGTACATCCAACATAGTTTGTTCTGCGATGGGATGTGGCTGCGTATAATTCTGATTTAGTTTTTCAAGAGCTTTTTCCTTCCTACTCTGTGATCTGGTAATCGCCATGGATTTATTGATGTCATGGTGATTTTGCCAATGTGTAATATCCGCTTCTGTACACTCTTTCACATCTGCAACATTCCCAATTATTAAATCGATGCCATCTAGGGGTTGATCTAATACTAACGCTTTGTGCCATCCTGTCAAATACGGACTATCAACATAGGTAATTGCTATAGGATGTGTACTAATCTCACCTTTGAAATCTTTAACTTTTCCGTATTCTCCAGTATATGACTGTGGCCCCACACAATCTTGATGTATCAATAAAGTGGTTGTACCGGTATCTCTCAGCGCAATACATTTCTGTTGATCAACAAATGCTGAAATCTGTGTTAATTTACCATCGCCTTGTTAAATTTCTGCAAAAAAAACTTTGTTTGTTGGTTTATACTGCGTTGATGCTTTCTTGGAATCTCTGAAGTAACAATTGTCAGTGCGATGATTATTTTTCTTGCAAATCTTACAGTATGAACTTTTATTGGAATTTTGTTGTGTACTGTATTTCCCATCTGCTCTTCCATGTTCTACAATGGTTTTCATTCTCATTTTTGTTGTTGCGAAGAATGCGGTTTGCACTGAAGTCGGCTTGGATAACATCTGATCTGGATGAGCTGTTGTCAACGCATTACGGTTCGCGGGCAACGTTCCTTCACAAATACCTGGACTTGTTCATTGTATGCATTGATCACAGTGTCAAGTATGATGTGATTTCTTATTGCTTCATACGTTTTATTTACGTTAGCCATAGCTAACCATTTATCAAAGTACATTGTCATATATGTTATAAACAGACGTGGATCATCCTTGTGGTCAGGAACACTATGCAGGAATTTTTTTCTATATTCATCCTCGGTTTCTCCAAACTTTCTCAGAAGAACATCTTTCACAACTGAATACTGGTTTCTCTCTTGTTCATTCGGTTGGATACATATGTTGATGGCTCTATCCTTCAAATGACCCGACAGACTTCTAGCCCACTCACGTTCTGGTAATTCACAAGCACGAGCCAAATCCTCAAATCTCGCAAGATATGAATCGATGCTCTCAGTGTCCTCATTAAAAGGTAACATCCTTCTCAATTGATGGAATTTATCAAAACAATTACCGTTATCATTTCTTTGTTGCTGTATTCTGGCCATTTCAATGTCGTGCATTCGTTGTTTTTCCCTTTCCTAGCTTTCACGCTCCCCTTCCTCTCGCTGTCTCTAACTTTCCTCATGTTTATGTTTATGATGAATTTAGAGGCCTCTTCACTAGTTAGTCCCAGCTCTTAGGCAGCGTTTATATACTGAGCGAGTGACGCCATTTCTAATATTCTTACTTTTTACTCACTGCTGTTGTATGACGGTTGAAATGATGAAGATGACGACAAGTGCTAACTGGGGAGTTCTATGTTTTTTTTCTGCTGGAGTTTCTGTAGCCGACGCTGTAGCCAAGAATGTTGTTACCGAAGACGAAGAAGCTGAAGAGGACAAGAAGGCTGGTACAACTGCTATTGTTTCTGTTGAAGACGACGAAGAAGTGATGACACGAAACTGCTACTGTTGCTATCGAAGACGATGAAGAAGTGATGACACGAAACTGCTACTGTTGCTGTATCTTTTTTTTTAATTTTAATTTCAATTAACTCGACAATTAAATTGCAATATAATATTATTTCAATGTTTCACTTTTTTTTAAGTTCGATGTTACAGAACACAAGGTCACAGACAGACAGTTTCCACAACAATTAATTAATTTTATTTTTTTTTATTTTATTTAATTTTATTTTAATTCACCACAATTTAATTAATTTATTTTATTTTTAATTTTAATTTATGACAGTTTAATAATTTTACTTTAACAGTCGCAGTTTTCGTTAATTATTTTTAATTTTTATTTTAAAACTCTACGCAGTGTTTCCTAACTCACGTAGGTCTTATAGTCTCGTCAGGGTCGCCAAATGTCACGAATTCTTTCCTATTTTAAGGCTCTAATTAATTAAAATTACGCCAAACAGTATTTTCATTAAGTTTTATTTTAACAAACAAAATATTAACTAAATAGTTAATTAACGAATGAATATTTACTAAAACAGTACGGCAAAATTAAATATCAGATACCAAAACTGTCATAACGCTTTTCCTATGTCACCTTCTAATTACCACTAAACTAAACTGGTTTATCTAATCGCCTCAATGGCTCTAAATTATTAAGCGCTAAGCGCATAAGTTTGGGGATCGTCACAATATATATATATATATATATATATATATATATATATATATATTAAATTTAATAAAAAAAGAAAAGACATAACTAACAATAAAAAAATTCAATCGTTCACTGGCTTCACTTGGGGCCAAACCAGGCACTGTAGGGCCAGACTGAAAAAATGTTAAATTATTACTTAATTATTAAATTA